CTAATGGAGGGTCGACAGATCTAAAGGAGCGTCACCAGATCTAATGGAGGGTCACCGGATCAAATGGAGGGTCACCGGATCAAATGGAGGGTCACCGGATCAAATGGAGGGTCACCGGATCTAATGGAGGGTCACCAGATGTCTTATTGTAGCCCTACCACTGTGTTACAGAAGGGCCCCTAAATGTCTTATTGTAGCCCTACCACTGTGTTACAGAAGGGCCCCTAATTTCCTCCCTGTAGGCGGGCCATTATGGAATAACAGGGCCCCCAAATGCCTAGCCAGCATATCACTACTTTATACACGGGGCCCCTTGACATGGCCATAACCTGTGGCACCGATGTGCTCAGAACATTTTTATTAAAAAAGGGGGAAAGAAAAAAGCCGTACTTGTCCCAGTCATGTGACTGGCCTCTCCTCCTATCAGGGACTGTCCTCTGTAGGACCCCGCGACCTGCGTGTTTTGGAGCGGTGAGGGCCACACACTCCGATCCCTTAGATTGCTCTGTACATCATGTATCATACATGACTGCTGTCACCTTCATTCATTCATTCCTCTTATGCTGCACAGCACCCGCCCCCTCGCAGCCACCCCCCCTCGCAGTCACCCCACCCCCCTCGTAGTCACCCCTCCCCCTCGCAGTCACCCCGCCCCCCTTGCAGTCACCCCCCACTCGCAGCCACCCCCCCTCGCAGTCATTCCCCCTCGCAGTCACCCCGCCCCCTCGCAGTCACCCCGCCCCCTCGCAGTCACCCCTCCCCCTCGCAGTCACCCCGCCCCCTCGCAGCCACACACACGGCTCCGTGGATAATGAATGGATAACAGCGATAATCCTATCAGGAGATGATCAGCAATTAAAAGTCCTAATTAAGTCTGCGCCGCGTTGGGCGGAGTCGCCCTTTATGTACACGGGGGGGGGGGGGGGTGTGTTTGCTGTGTCTGGCCCACCGCAGAGTGCTGACGTCTTCATTGTTGGGGACTCCAGGGGCCCCGAGGCTGGGGCAGGGGAGAGGGGCAAACAGCGGGTGTCCCGCCTCTTCCTATAAATTGGGGTCATGCAGAGGAATCAATCACATGCTGGGCCAATGGGGGGCACCGCCCAACCGCCACCAATGACCCCCATCCACGGCTGAATCATACCACCAATGACCCCCATCCACGGCAAACTCATATCCAGCCTTATGGGGGCGCTGGTACTGTATAACTAAAAGGCAAAACTTTTTTTTCAGTTTTGGATGGGGTGGAGAGGGATTGGACCCCCTGTCAGGTTTTCATTGCTGCCTGTGTCCCATTAGGGTCACCCTTGGCCTGGTGACCCAGAGTGAAAGAAAATCCCACATTCTGGGTTGTCATCAAAACAGGAATAGAAGGGAGATCCTTCCTATGGGGACACTAGTTCTGGTGACAAGCAGGGATGCCCTCACTTTGGAGGGATTTCCTCTCACTTCCTGTTTCGGTTATAGGACAGGAATTGAAGACAAATCTTCATCTGGGGAAACTAGTTCCAGATGATAACCGTTTTCTTCTGTGGCTAAGGGACAGGAAGTGAAGGGAAATCTTCAAATGGGGACACAAGTCCTGATAATAACCAGGGATTTCCTCTCACCTTGGGGGGATTTTCCCATTTCCTGTTGTGGCAAAGTGACAGGAAGTAAAGGAAAATCTTCGAATGGGGACACCAGTTCTGGTAACCAGGGATTTCCTCTCACTTTGGGGGGGATTTTCCCATTTCCTGTTGTGGCAAAGTGACAGGAAGTGAAGGAAAATCTTTGAATGGGGACACCAGTTCTGGTAACCAGGGATTTCCTCTCACTTTGGGGGGATTTCCCATTTCCTGTTGTGGCAAAGTGACAGAAAGTGAAGAGAAATCTTCAAATGAGGACACCAGTTCTGGTAACCAGGGATTTCCTCTCACTTTGGGGGGGATTTTCCCATTTCCTGTTGTGGCAAAGTGACAGGAAGTGAAGGGAAATCTTCGAATGGGGACACCAGTTCTGGTAACCAGGGATTTCCTCTCACTTTGGGGGGGATTTTCCCATTTCCTGTTGTGGCAAAGTGACAGGAAGTGAAGGGAAATCTTCGAATGGCGACACCAGTTCTGGTAACTACCAGGGATTTCCTCTCACATTGAAAGGATGTTCTCACTTCCTATTGTAGCTATTGAACAGCAAGTGAAGGGAACCCTACCAAGGTGAACACTAGTGACAACCAGGGATCCCCTCACTTTGGAGGGATTTCCTCTCACTTTCTGTTGTGGCTAAGGGACAGGAAGTGAAGAAAATGCTTCGACTGAGGAAACTATTTTGAGATTAGAAGCATTTTCTGCTGTGGCTAAGGGACAGGTAATGAAGGGAAATCTTCCAATGGGGCACCATTTCTGGTGACAACCAAGGATGGCTCTCACTTTGCAGGGATTTTCTCATTTCCTGTTGTGGCAAAGGGACAGGAAGTGAAGGGAAATCTTCGTATGTGTACACCAGTTCTGGTGACAACCAATGATGTCATCTTGTTTTTTGGGATTCTCTCATTTCTTGGTGTGACAAAGGGACAGGAAGTGAAATCTACAAATGGGTCCACCAGTTCTGGTAACTACCAGAGATTTCCTCTCACATTGGAAGGATTTTCTCACTTCCTCTTGTAGCTATGGAACAGGAAGTGAAGGGAACTCTTCTAAGGTAGACACTAGTTCAGTGACAGCGAGGGATCCTCTCAATTTGGAAAGATTTCCTCTCATTTCCTGTTGTGTCTACTAGACAGGAAGTAAAGAGAAATCTTCAACTGGGAAAAGTATTTTGAGATTTCCTGTTGTGGCAAAGGGACAGGAGTGAAGAGAAAACTTTAAATGGGGACACCAGTTCTGGTGACAACCAGAGTTCCTCTTTTGTTGGAGGAATTTTCTCATTTCCTGTTGTAGCTATGGAACCTTCCAACATGGACACTAGCTCTGGTGACAACAAACGAATCCCTCACTTTGGAGGGATTTCCTCTCACTTCCTGGCTTGGCTATGGAAGTGAAGGGAAATCTCCCTGATGGGACACAGATAGAGGCCAAAACCCCGCCTTACTCTTTCTTTCCTGCTTGTCATGCCCCGGGGGATCCTACTGATCTTCACACTGCTGGAGGCGGAGCATATAAAAATAGGCAGGTATTGTCACGCCCCTCAGCTGTCAATCACCTAGCAAGGGGTGGGGGTAGTGGTAGAGGGGTGGTGGACATTGATTTTCACAGGTTGTCAAAATGCGGACATTCATTACTTGATCCCAATTGGCCTGTACTTGGTAGCCCCCCACAAAGATGGAGACCCCCCCAGGAGAGGACATTCACCAGTGTTGAAAAATCTAAATGTAATAGGTCAAATGAAAAACCCTTAGGAGTCCAAAGTCTTTATTATTCAACTTATGACAAGCAGGGCAACGCATTTCGGGGGCCACACAACTCCCTTCTTCAGGGCTGGAGAAAATGGGAAAATGTTGAACAAACCCAAACAAGTCAGAGCCAGTGCTCACAGTAAGGATTGTGGGGGATGGTGTGGCCCCCGAAACGTGTTGGCTGTCCTTGCCCTGCTTGTTGTAACCGGCTGAACAATGAAGACTTTGGGCTCCTAAGGGTTGTCATCTGACGCTCTCTTTGGCCCATTACATCTAGCAGAACAGAGCATGTCCTGCATGGGCGGAGCTTATTGGTGGAGAGAATGTGAACATATAATGGTGGCAACGCTGCTGAAGATAGGAGAACCTGCAAAGCGTTGCCACCAGGACCAGGATCACCCGATGCTTTCTCTTTACTGGAACTATTTTAGATAAGAAAATCAACCCAAGGAGTCGAATTTCATGGGGAGCCTTTAAAGCCCAACAAAAACAGCAAAAACAAATTCTACCCTTGCAGTAGGCCCCGCCCCTCAACCCACCGGAAGGATTAAAAGAGAAGTATGGACATACAGCAAGAGTCAATGATGCAGTGCAGCAGCACCCACCAATACTTACATGTGCCCGAGAGCAGCGGCTCTCCCCGGGACTCCCCAATGGCTGAGACAGCGATTGGCTCCCGCTACTGTCAATCACAGCCAGTGAGTCAATGAGAAGAGAGAGGGGGCGGAGCCTAGCCGCGATCTGTGTGTGAATGGACACAGAGAGCCCAGCTCAGCTGCATGCTATGGGGCACTCAGCAGGAGGGAGGGGCCAGGAGCCCAAAAGAGGAGGATCGGGGTACCCCTGCGCAAACCCACTACAGAGCAGCTATGACACGTTTATTTTTTTTAAAAAACCCGCCAATCACATCACTTTAAATTCCCAGACTTGGGCTTTAAATGAGCAGTGTTGTGGCCCCCGACATGCATTTTGGTTTGGCGCTCAAGGTCACTCCTGAGCAGAATCGGTGACTCCGGCATCTGCCGCCCCTCGGCTGAAGGTCAAGTCGGCGCGTTATGAATATTCAGAGATGCGCCTGGCGGATCGATGGCTTTTAATTGTTTTTTTTTCCCCGGGTGTTGGGAGGAAGTGCCGCAGGCATTGATCAGCTCTCACCGGCCGGGAGATAAGAGCAGGGACTCTGTCACATGATGGCGGCAGAAGACGAGCCGAGGAGCGATGTCAGCCGGACATACTCCATGCAGCCGTCATACGTGTTATAAATCATTCATACACGGCTTTTGATGAAGCCGCTGACCGGGGGAGCGGTAATGAAGTGTTAATCAATAGCATCAAACGCTTTAATTTATGGTGGAACATATTTCCAGAGGAGGGGTCATCACCGCGCTCACCACTGAGACGCAAAAAGCGTAAAGGTTAACAAACTGGAGGGCTCAGTATGGAGACAGAGCCATCACCTTCCTTCATCATACGATGGATTATCACCATCTCGGGGGGGGGGGGGGATATGGATCTATGACCCCTCTGTATGAAATGAGGAGCTTCCTGTACAGATCAGACTGGGGAACGCCAATGGCTTGCACAGCTGTACTGGCTCCTCCCCTTCAGTCTTGCACAGGTGTACCGGCTCCTCCCCTTCAGACTTGCACAGGTGTACCGGTTCCTCCCCTTCAGTCTTGCACAGGTGTACCGGCTCCTCCCCTTCAGTCTTGCACAGGTGTACTGGCTCCTCCCCTCCAGTCTTGCACAGGTGTACTGGCTCCTCCCCTTCAGTCTTGCACAGGTGTACTGGCTCCTCCCCTCCAGTCTTGCACAGGTGTACCGGCTCCTCCCCTTCAGTCTCTGCACAGGTGTACTGGCTCCTCCCCTCCAGTCTTGCACAGGTGTACCGGTTCCTCCCCTCCAGTCTTGCACAGGTGTACCGGCTCCTCCCCTTCAGTCTTGCACAGGTGTACTGGCTCCTCCCCTTCAGACTTGCACATGCATACCGGCTCCTCCCCTTCAGTCTTGCACAGGTGTATCGGCTCCTCCCCTTCAGTCTTGCACAGGTGTATCGGCTCCTCCCTTTCAGTCTTGCACAGGTGTATCGGCTCCTCCTCTTCAGACTTGCACAGGTGTACCAGCTCCTCCTCTTCAGACTTGCACAGGTGTACCGGCTTTTCCCCTCCAGTCTTGCACAGGTGTGCCAGCTCCTCCCCTCCAGTTTTGGACAGGTGTACTAGCTCCTCCCCTTCAGTCTTGCACAGGTATACCGGCTCCTACCCTTCAGTCTTGCACAGGTATACCGGCTCCTACCCTTCAGTCTTGCACAGGTATACCGGCTCCTACCCTTCAGTCTTGCACAGGTGTACCGGCTCCTCCCCTTCAGACTTGCACAGGTGTACCGGCTCCTCCCCTTCAGACTTGCACAGGTGTACTGGCTCCTCCCCTTAAGTCTTGCACAGGTGTACCGACTCCTCCCCTTCACACTTGCACAGGTTTATTGGCTCCTCCCCTTCAGTCTTGCACAGGTGTACCGGCTCCTTCCCTTCAGTCTTGCACAGGTGTACCGGCTCCTCCCCTTCAGTCTTGCACAGGTGTACAGGCTCCTCCCCTTCAGTCTTGCACAGGTGTACCGACTCCTCCCCTTCACACTTGCACAGGTGCACAGGCTCCTCCCCTTCAGTCTTGCACAGGTGTACCGACTCCTCCCCTTCAGACTTGCACAGGTGTACAGGCTCCTCCCCTTCAGACTTGCACAGGTGTACTGGCTCCTCCCCTTCAGACTTGCACAGGTGTACAGGCTCCTCCCCTTCAGACTTGCACAGGTGTACAGGCTCCTCCCCTTCAGACTTTCACAGGCCAGGCTGGGAGGAACACTAACTGACTGACATGAATAGTGACACTGGCTGGGAAGGGGTTATATATACGTGATTTAGCATTTCCAGGTAGGGGGTGCGCACCCTACCCGCGCTCGCCACTGGAGGCTTCAGATGTCGATCCCCGGGTCCCAGGCGGTGATTCCCCACCAACACTCGGCGATCGCCGAGTATCACTGATGGGGGAGAGGTCTGTATGTAAACAATACAGATCTCTCCCCGGTCAGCTCCAGCAGGCTGCTATGCAGAGCAATACAAAGCAGAGTGTTTACACACAGCACACAGTTAACCCTTTGATCACCCCACATGTTAACCCCTTCCTGCCCAGTGCCATTAGTACAGTGTCAGTACATTTTATTAGAGCTGAGCACTGTATTGGTTGCACTGGGGATGTCAGTGACACCAAGTCAGTTCTCACCCCCCAGTGTCAGAATGCCCGCCGCAGTCCCGCTATAAGTCGCTGATCGCCGCCATTACTAGTATAAGCAAAAAAATAATTCCAGTATCTATCCCGCCATTTGTAGACGCTATAACTGTCATGTAAACCAATTGATATACACGTATAGGGATTTTTTTCTAGCAAAGACACGGAGCAGAATACATTCATAAATTTATGACGAAATTTGATTTTTTAAATTTTTTTATTGACACATTAATAAAAAATAATATAATCAAAATTATCGGTCTATTTTTGTTTATAGAACAAAAAATAAAAACCGCAGAGGGGATCAAATACCACCAAAAGAAAGCTCTATTTGTGGGGGAAAAAAAGACGTAAATTTCATTTGGGTGCAGCGTTGCACGACCGCGCAATTGTCAGTTAAAAGTAATGCAGCGCTGTATCGCAAAAACTGGCCTGGTCAGGAAGGGGGAGGGGGGGGGGGGTGAATCCTCTGGAGGGCGAGGGGTTAATATCCACCTATTGGGATGCTATCACACAGAATACATTTTGGCCTAAATTTATGCAGAAATTCGATTTTTTTTTAATCTATTGGATATGTTTTATAACAGAAAGTAGAAAATATTGTTTTTTCCCCCAAATTATTAGTCTTTTTTTTGTTCCTATAATAAAAAAAATTAAAAACCCAGCGGTGATCGAATACCCTGAAAAGAAAGTTCTATTTGTGTAAAAAAAATGACATGTTTCATTTGGGCACAGTGTTGCATGACCATGTAATTGCCAGGTAAAGTAACGCAGCGCCGTATCGCAAAAAATGGCCTGGTCAGGAAGGGGGGGGGGGGGGGGGTGGTAATCCTCTGGAGGGCGAGGGGTTAATATCCACTTATTAGGATGGTACGACACAGAATACATTTTGGCCTAAATTTATGAAGAAATTAGATTTTTCTTTTCTATTGGATAGATCTCCTAGATTGTAAGCTCCCAGGAACATCCCCTCCCTCTACAGTACAGATATGCCCCAAATGTCAGGACGATACAGATATCCCCCAAATGTCAGGATGGTACAGATATCCCCCAAATGTCAGGACAGTACAGATATCCCCCAAATGTCAGAACAGGACAGATATCACCCAAATGTCAGGACGGTACAGATATCCCCCAAATGTCAGGAGGGGACAGATATCCCCCAAATGTCAGAACAGTACAGATATCCCCCAAATGTCAGGACGGTACAGATATCCCCCCTAATATCAGGACAGTACAGATATCCCCCAAATGTCAGGACAGTACAGATATCCCCCAAATGTCAGGACAGTACAGATATCCCCCAAATGTCAGGACAGTACAGATATCCCCCAAATGTCAGGACAGTACAGATATCCCCCAAATGTCAGGACAGTACAGATATCCCCCAAATGTCAGGACAGGACAGATATCCCCCAAATGTCAGGACGGTACAGATATCCCCCAAATGTCAGAACAGTACAGATATCCCCCAAATGACCCCTTTTTGCAGAGTAGACAGTCCGACGTACTTCATAAGAGGAATGGCGAGTTTTTTGAAGTTGTATTTTTTTTGTCATAATTTTTCGGAAAAAATGAAAAAATTAAAAAAATTATTTTATTATTATTATGAAAAAAAATAAATTTTTTTAAAATTTATATTATTTTTAATTTTTTTATTAAATTTTTTCTTTTTTTTAAGATTTTTTTTCATATTTCACTTTGATCAAAGCAGTACAATGTTACCATAGTAACATTGTACTACTTTGGGGAAGTGATCAGTATTTTTTTTTTTTTTTTTTACACAATTTTCTTATAGCAAAGAATTACTTTGCTATAAGCAAGCATTTACCTGAATGACATCGATTCATTCAGGGCTTTTTTTTTTTGTTTTTGTGTGCTTAGCTGTGATTTGGCCACGGCTAATCACATGACACAGCTGGGCTGTGATTGGTCCAGCTTGTGCATGTGATCGCTGTGACCATTCACAGCTAGGCACACTAGTATATAATGGATGGCATGAATGAAGCCATCCATTGTATACAACTGTCATGTGACCTGCTGTGATTGGTCACAGCAGGTCACATGGTACCGGCAATGGGGTCGGTACTCAGATCTGTCATTGGCCCTGTCCAAGATACACGGCCGGTGACATCACGCTGCTGTGTGGCTCTGCATGCGTGCATACTGCACATGCCCGTCAGGACGCCATATTGGCATCCACCCGGAACGCTGAGGGATTTTGCCAGCCGCCATTCAGCCATTGGCCGGGCGGCAAGAGGTCAATACTTTTTTTGTTCATATAATAAAAAAAAAATTAAAAACCCAGCGGTGATCGAATACCACCAAAAGAAAGTTCTATTTGTGTAAATAAATGACACGTTTCATTTGGGTACATTGTTGCATGACCACACAATTGCCAGTTTAAAGTAGCGCAGTGCTGAGTAGCAAAAAAAAAAACCCTGGTCATGAAGTGGGGGGGGGGGGGGGGGAAATCCCTCCGGAGGGCAAGTGGTTACAATGAAAGATGAAAAAACGACCAAAGATGTTGGAGAACCACAAAGAGGAGGAGATGGCGCCAGTGAAAGGGCCCCAATCCCATTTAGCAGGGCGAATAATGGCATGATCGGCGTTCCTCCATCAGGCGCGGCGGTATTGTTGGGGCCGGCGCGGCGGGGGGGGGGGGGGGGGGTAGTCAGGTATAATGTGTGTTTAGCCATGCACAGAGAGACATATCGGAGGGGGGGGGGGAGATTGCCATGGGCTGCTGAAGAATAACACTCGGCTCCCCCTCCATCAAATCACGGCTGAATTCCAGTAATAGATTCTCGGAGTGACAGTCCATTCGATTCGAAGGTGATCCTCTTTATCCCGGCGCATCAAATATTAAACGGCCGTATTAGGCGATCCGCCGACACTTTAGCTGGCTTATTCCGCCTGCTTTATTTTATTCATTCCTTCATTCCCTCCCGCTTTCAGCCATTCTCATATTCTCAATGTTATCTAAACATTCCCTAATACACTCGGCCTCTTATCAATTTTCTTTTGTACGGCGCGGCCGGCGTGGGGGGGGGGGGGGGGGGGGGGGGGGGGGGGGGGGGGGGGGGGGGGGGGAGCGCGCGACGGACGGCTACTTAAAGAAATATTCAGGAATTTATTTATTTTTTTCCTCTTTAAATTATTTTAGTGGTTATTTTGCAGCTTTTCACGTTTTTATTTCTTTTTTTTTTTCCGTTGTCCGGAAAGCTTAGCGGGAAGATAGAGGGGCAGCAGAGAGGAGAGGGGCTGCATTTGACGGATGCCTTTCAACAAGGGCAGTCTAGCTTGTCAAAGCCTGAGTGGAAGATGAATTGGCGCATCTATTCAGGCTGCCGTCGCATGTCATGCAATACGGTTTAATATTCCCGGATAAAGCCGGTTGGGATAGCGCGATCTTGACACCGGAGCTATTTGCTCTTTTTTTTTTGTGCGAGCGCGCCTCCCCTCCTCCCTCCCGCGGGTACCGCCGCGCACAACTTTCTATGGAGACAACTTCACGAGCCGTGAACTCGCATGTACGCCGCGCCGCAACAATACCCCCGGGGTCCGTCCTCGTATGGAGGTGTACTTAACTCACTTACCCCATGGTATGCGACAGTGCTGGGGCAAGGTCCTCCAGCGTCCAATGCCAAAAGGACAAGGTGCGCCCCATGAATGGTGAACTACATTGGCAGCCCAGGTTGAAGGTCCCCCTCCTATTGAAACCAAGGCACCAATGCAAAAAGGACAAGGTGCGCCCCTTGAATGGTGAGCTACTTCAGCAAGCTAGGCTGTGGGTCCCCCTTCTAATGAAGCCAAAGTGCGCCCCCTTCCCCCTGGGCAGTGAACTACTTCAGCAGGTTGTGGCTCCCCTTTTCCAATGACGCACCTAAGACAAAAAGGTCAAAGTGCGCCCCCTATTCCTTGGGCAGTGAACTACCTTGGCAGCTCAGGTTGCAGTTCCCCCTCCTATTGACGCTGAAGTGCGCCCCCTTCCCCTTGAGTGGTGAACTAAGTGCTGGGGCAAGGTTCTCCAGAGTCCAATGCCAAAAGGGCAAGGTGCGCCCCATGAATGGTGAACTACTTTGGCTGCCCAGGTTGAAGGTCCCCCTCCTATTTAAATCAAGGCACCAATGCAAAAAGGACAAGGTGCGCCCCTTGAATGGTGAGCTACTTCAGCAAGCTAGGCTGTGGGTCCCCCTTCTAATGAAGCCAAAGTGCGCCCCCTTCCCCCTGGGCAGTGAACTACTTCAGCAAGTTGCGGCTCCCCTTTTCCAATGACGCACCTAAGACAAAAAGGTCAAAGTGCACCCCCATTCCTTGACCAGTGAACTACCTTGGCAGCTCAGGTTGCAGTTCCCCCTCCTATTGACGCTGAAGTGCGCCCCCTTCCCCTTGAGTGGTGAACTAAGTGCTGGGGCAAGGTCCTCCAGCGTCCAATGCCAAAAGGGCAAGGTGCGCCCCATGAATGGTGAA